TAAAATATGTTAAATTTTTGAATTTTTCAAATGATTATTTCTTAAATTTCTAAATTGCGGCTTTGCAACTACAAATGATCTTTTATTAAAAAAAAAAATTAAAGAGAATTACAAATAAAAAAATAACCTTAATTTATTTATTCTATTCATTATACCTCTTTAAATTACTCTACATTTACTCTATAAATTATACCGCTGTATATACTATTTATTAAAAAAATAATTGTTGCAACTTAACAAGCATTATAAAAAAAAAGTTTAACATAAGTTTTGTGCAAACTTTTGATGCAGTTGTTTATTTAAAATTAAATATTGAGAAAAAAATATTTAGGAAATAAAAACAAAATAAACAATTGCAATAAAAATGAGCTAATTTTTTTAAAATAAAATTTCAATATTGAATAATATTTAGCAATATTTTTAAAGAAATTTGACAGTTAAATCAAACCCAAGCATTAACTTTAATTCTAATAAACTTAAATATATTTTTTAAATCAAAATTAAATTATACACTTTTAAAATCTAAATTAATTTTTTTTTTTAATCAGAATAAAATTACATACTTTTCATAGTTGTCACCACCGAGGAGGGGGCCAGGGGGTCTTAGCCCCCCCAATTTTCTATGATAATTATAATTTTTGAAATTATAATTATCATAGAAAAACATATATGTAAAATATGGTTCTGCTTTTGCTAAATTAGTTTTAAATTAAATCATATATTTTTTATCAGAATTAAATTATGTTTTTAAGATCTTTGCTTCAACTTAAAAAATCAATCATAAAAACAAAATAAAAATAAACTTTTAATTTTATTAGAGTTTTTTTCATTAGTAAATAGCGCTTATCTCAAACATAATTGTCATTCAAACTTTTGTAACAAATACTTTTACATAAACGTCATTCAAAAGTTAATGTGATTTTATTAAAAAATAATTATTCATATAATTTGCAATCTTTTAAGTTGTCTGTCAATCGTTAACTTACTCTACAGTCTTCATCTTTTCTCTTCCAGTAACTTCCAACACTAATTAGTGGTTGCTTGCAGCCTCGTTGGAAGTAAAAATGTTTTTAAAAGAAATTACTTTTCTTATCTTACCACATAGAATAATTTAAAAGTTAAAAAATGATAAAAAGTTGCCTAATCAAAATTGCTTTCTACTTATGTAAAATCACTTAAGGTCTATATTGCTCTACGTCTAATGCTTTAAAACAAGTCCTGAAACTGTACTAACACCAGTGTTACATTCTTATTACAATTTTTTAATCTCATATGTTTTCAGACAGAACAACTAAAAAATTAGTTCAGCTAGCATGAGCACAACAAAAGAGAAATTTTAATTTTAATTTTTCAATGTTTTACTTTTATAAAATTCATATATAGTTATTATTAATAGACTTCTTATATATTTAAATATCATAATATATACTCTCATATATCACTTCAACACACATATAATATGCATAACAAGCTTTTCTCTCTAAATAGATAAAAAGTGAACAGTAAACTTTAAATACTGCAATATAATAGATACAAAACATGTCATGGTTTCTACTTGTTAAAAGTTTATTGAGAGGAGTTCTAATTAAAATTTAAATTTATACTGTGATTTCTTGTACGTTCTTTTGACAACAATGACTTCATTATGCAATGAAGTTTAATATTACCTAGTCCAGTAGCAATACCAACTTCAGCAATTAAGTTATGACCACAACCATGCCCCATATCAATTAATGAATCATACTCACAAAAAATGCCCACTTTTAAGCCAGTTGCATCACCATATCTAATAAGAAAAAAGTTTGGTCTATTAATGTATTTATTTTTTATATTAATATATTTTTTATATTACTTTTTATATTACAACATTAAACCCTCTTTTTTTTTTCAGTTGTTTAATTTTTGTTTTGACATTTTTCACTAAGATTGCCTAAACACTACATAAAAAAGTGATTTGGCAATCAAATCACTTTTTTATGCAGCGTTTAAACTTAATGTAGCCATAAAACTTAATTAGTTCTAAGAATTAAATAAAAACAAAAAGTTATGATATTTTTGTTTAACTTTTTTTACTATATTGCTTTTATTAAATTAAAATTTTTAATTTGTTTGATTCTGTCTTTCCTAAACATTTTTTTTTGAATTACATTTAGTAACTATTATGTGTTATCCTCTCTATACATACAAAATATTTACTCAAGCAGATCAGTTAACAAGGGGTCAAATTATTCAAAGTATAAAAAAAAAAGGTTGTAATTTTTGTTAAAAAACAATTTTAAAAATAAAAACTTTTTACATGATAAAATATATTATTATATCATTATTATTAAATTATATAAATTAAAAACAATAACTGAATTGCAATTAGAAAAAGTTTTTAACTTTATCTTTTTAAAAAATATTATTTTTATAAAAAGGTAATTTCTATTGGTTTTAATTAATTGGTTCTAATTAGAACCTTGCAATAAAAGCAGTTTCAAGAGGAGTTTTTCTTTGAACAACAAATTTCTCTTTTTCCAAGAAAGTAGTTAACAAATCATGAGCATAATTCTCTTGAAAGCACAACTCAGGATGTTCCCATATGCGCTGGCTTATATTATTTAAATCCGATGCACGATCATCAATGGTTTTAATAATGCAGTTTTTTAATTCTTTTTTAAATTCACTTTCCATTACTATGAAAAAAAAGTTTGATTAAAAGATACTTTACAAATTAAAAAATTGACATTACATTAAAAACCATTAGTAAAAAAACAATGCATTATTAATTATTAAAATTAATTTAAAAACTTTGAACTTTTTATTAATTTTATTATTTATCATCATTTAATAATTAAATGATTCAACACTGGTGTTGAATCTTTTCATGCACAGCTATTGATATATACACACTTTAGCCAATATCATAAAGTTGATTAAACCAACAACATAAATTATATAGCAAACATAAATATATTAAACAAATTAAAAAAGAAAACAAAAAGTAATAATCAAGACATATTAACAATAAAACAAGACTGAAATAAACAGAAGGATAAGGAATTAAATGTTAAATGCAGTTTAATTTTATTGATTTCCAATTTTTTTTTTATGTACTATTATGTAAAATATGCTGTTGGGTTTTAGTACATCAACTATCTTACAGCCCGCTGCCACAAAGGAGTGCTTTATTGACTGAGGATTTTGCATGGGACAATAATCTTTTGTTTTGTTATTCTTCTTTTTTTTTTTTTTTTTCTAAAAGAGCTGTATGCTATAAAGATAAGCAAAACTAGTAAGTATATGTTATTTGATAATTTTAAAAAAAAGTGGTAAGATGGTTTCTATAAAAATGTGACAGGATAAGCTCCTCACTTCCAGCACTGTATATATATATATATATATATATATATATATATATATATATATATATATATATATATATATATATATATATATATATATATATATATATATATATATATATATGGCCTTAAAACTATAGTTTTTTGACAAAAAATTAAAAGTACATATTTTCAAAGTTTTTTTTTAATAAACTTTTTTAACTTGTGTTTCCATAAAATTTCACTACTTTAGAGACCCAACAAGATATACTTTTGAAGAACTTTTTTTTTCAAAATATTAGGGACCCGTTTGATGTTTAGGGGTGTTGAGCGACCCCTAAAATTTAACATCTTTGCTTCCAACAAGCCTGCAAGCAACCACTATTAGAGTCGAAAGTTACTGGAAAGAAAAGATGAAAATTGTAGAACAAGATGACAATTGCCAGACGACTTATAAAAACTAGAGGAATAAGAGTTTTTGGAGCACTTAGGAAAAGTCACAGAAAAGAGATTAAACTTAATTGAATGACGAGTAACACGAGAATGAATTTTAGTAGATGTCAAAAGAGACGCTAGCTCTTTAGAGCAGTGCCCATTATAGTATTTGTAGAAAAGAGAAAGAGAAGCAACATTACGACAATGTGATAATGGTTGGAGGTTGGCTGGAGGAGCAGGTCCAACTACGTTTACAATGCGTTTTTACACCTTGTCTAAATTAGAAAGGGCATGATTAGAAGATTTGCCCCAGATATAGTCACAGTATTCCATACAACATCAGCAGATGCTAATTTGGCAATGGATTTGATATATGATTTCCATGAAAGATCGAAAGTAAGAGTAAATGCTAAAAGAAAAAGGGTAGATGACTCATCGAGTACACAACCGTTCATAAATAAAGAAAAATCTAGAGTTTTATCTGAGTTCACCAGCCACTGTGAGTCCCATACTGTAGCAGAAGTGAAATCCTTTTCAAGCTCAAATGCCCCCTCCAATCAATTAGAGAGTGTTGGCTTCTTATCATGACAAGAATAAACGGTAGTATTATTAGCAAACAATGCCACCTTAGATGTGAGAATATCCAGAAGATCATCCATCGAGGACAACATTTATACTATGATTGGAAAGGAAGGATTCAATAATCTTAAAGATGTTACCTGATACAACATAAGAAGAAAGCTTATGGAGAAAACCAACATGGCAAACTTTATCAAATGCTTAAGAAATGTCAAGAGCATAGCTTAACCTCTCCACCTAATGCAAAATAAAACCTATCGCTTATTACTGGTTGCAAATCAGCTGTAGAACGAGAAGATCGGAATCCATATTGATGATCAGAAAGTAAGTTATTAGATTCAAGATGAGAGATTGTGTTTGACTAATGCGGCAGTAGTTTGATAATTCAGATTGCTCTCTAAAATTTTTTAAAATAGGGATAACAGATTCCAGCAGGCTAATAAAAGAGGACTCTGATAAACACTTGCTAAATAGTTTTGAAAGTATAGACAATAGCTCTGGAAAACACTTCTGCAGGACAGGCATGTAATTAATATAATTAAAATAGTTTAAATTACTGTAAATATAAAAATATGTAAAATAGAAATTTATTGAGAACTTAAAAAAGTAATAATACTCAATAATACAAATTTATTAAGTAAAAAATAATAAATAGAAAACTAATAATTCAAAAATCTTTTATTGAGAGTTTTTATTCTTTATAAGATTTCCAAAATAAGCAGTTATAGTTTTTACATTAGAGTTTAGCAAGTTTTTTTCAATTTCAACTTGGTTTCCAGGTGCAACAAGAGATGATACTTGACGCAAATCTGCATTCCTTGGTAAGAAAAATATTATATTAGGAGTTATTTTGGAAGCTACATTGTATAAAACACGACCACTAACTGGTTTAATCATTGTTTCTATATCAAAAAATTTTACTTTAATGTATTCAGGACCACCCCAGGGGGGACTAAGAAACACTACATCTGCTTTAAGTGAAGGAGCTAACACAAAGAAATCACCTAGAATAAAAGAAATTCGATTTTCAACACCATAAATAGCAGCATTTTGTCTTGCACATTCTAACCTTACCGGATCAATATCAATAGCAATTACATGATTACTTTTTAATGCAAATTGAATTGTATTACCACCAATTCCACAGAAAGCATCTACAACTATATCACATTTAGACCTATCAGCAATATGTTCAGCGATTTTTTCTGGAGTAACTGAAAACCATCCTTCATGATCTAATTTAACACCTTCATCAAATCTACTGAATAGTCGATACCTTTGCGCCCAATACTTTTGAATACTAAGAATAGATTTATATTTTGAAGCATTTGATTTTTTAGTAAAAAAAGATTTTTTCTTTTTAGCTTTATTTTTTACTTTATCAATACATTTTTTTAATACTGCAGTATCATGAGTTGTTAACTCCTCCAAAGACTTTTTGTCACTATTAATGCTTTTCAATGTTTCTGTTTTCATATTTTTTATTATTTCTTTTATATGCTTACCTGATAAGCTTACTTTGTGAGATGAATGTTTTATTTTGATGTCTTTTTTCTTTTTTTTACTTTTTAAATTTTGCAATCTGTTTGAAACACTGGTAACGTCTTTTTTAACAACTGGCACAGACTTTAAATTACATGATTCATTTGGAACAATAACACAGTTAACATTGGTTGAATAACTCATATTTCTTTCAGTTGTACAATCAAAAAAGCATTTGGGACTCTTCAGCTTTTGAGAGCATGAACTAAGTTCCGTATTACCGAATTCTTTATCATGTTTATTAGTAAAAACAGTGTTATTTAAGACATTAATATCGTTACTAGAAATTTTATTTTCATTTAATAACTGCTGCTTAAATATTGATAAACCAAACACTTTAGCATTAAAATCAGTTTTTCTTTTAATTTTTTTATTTTTATTGCTTTCTTTTCGTAAGGATTTATTTTTGAAAATATCTTGTTTGTGGTCGATAAATGAAACACTATTTTCAGCTTCTTTCATTTTAAAATAATTTTTAAAATAAAAATTCGAACATTTTTATACGTTAATTATAAATACAGTGAAAATTCACTGTACCTAAGGATGCGTTTTTTGATAGGTACAGTGAAAATCTATTTTTAGAATATTTTTAAAATTTACTTTCATTTTCCAAAATGCGCATGCTTTAAAACAACGAGTATATTTTCGAAGAGAGTTCTTGAATAAAATTTAGTAGTTAGAAGATTTTCAATAAGATTCTCAAAGATTAAAAAATGGAGGACATTTTCATGAAGAATTTTAGAGATTTTGATGAAGCAGAAAAGTCTGTTATTGAATATTGTAGAATGAATTTTCACCCCGTCAAAATCGACTCAAAAGAAAAAGTTGAACATTATAATAAAAAAGTAAAGGAAGGTTCCCAGATATGTTGTATTCCTCTTAACGCTATATATGGTTGTAGGTGAGCCCTATATAATAATAATAGTAAATATTGATAGTATTGGTAATACCAGTAATAATAAGGTAAGCTGTGACAATTGCTGAAATAGATAAATAAGATAGTGGAACAAGTTCCACAATCACTTTTAATAGTATTATTGTGATATTAATAGATGATGTTTTGCTACTTATAGCATGCTAGCACAACATTTTTTATTATTGTGTTCCACAATCAGTGAAATTTATTCAGCAATATTATTTGTTTCAGCAATATTATATACAATTGTATGTACAATTGTACATACAAATTTTGTACATACAATTGTACATACAATTGTATGTACAATTGTACATATAATTGTAATAAAATGTTTTAAAGTGACAGACAACACGTATATCTTTAAGTACAAGAGTTTTAATTAGCAAAATTTAAATCCGTATGGTAAAAAACAGTCAAATAATTACAACTAAAGATGACTGAAAATTTCAATTATATTTTTCCCACTGAAAGAAACAAAGAAAAAAAAAAAACGAAAGCAAAAGAAACAATAAAAATAACAATACATAGAGAAGTAAATTAATAAAAAAAAGAAATAATACAAAATTATTGCTCGAATAACGAACGAGCAGATGTATATTTTTATGTGTTTTTACATTTTCTTGTTGTTTTTATGCTTTTTTATTGGTACTACTATTTGTTGTTTATTTTATTACATTAAATGTTTTGTTTATTATGTTTTTTTTTTTTTTGTTGTTATAAGTTCTTTTGTTTCATAACGTTTTTGTGTGTGTTTTTTTTGTTTTATTTTTATCAGTTTTTATTTTATTTATTTGTTTATTATTTTTGCAGTAATTATATTATTATATGGTTATTATATTACAACAATTATGATTGTTATATTAACATATATTATTACTGTTTTTAACTGTAACTTTGTATGTATAAACGATTGTTGTGTGGCATTTAGTAATGATTTATTTAAATTATTTAAATTTATTTTTTGTTTATATGACTATTATACTTGCTAATAAATATTTATTAAATATTGCTATTATGTATGTGTTGTATTTATTATTATCATATGTATGGAATGTAGTTATAATTATTTGGTGTTACAATACTCTAATATAATGAATGTCTTTAATACTATTTATAATATTATTATTGTTATTATTATTTTCATTTTTATTTGTTATTGCCATTAATATCTGGTATTTACTTTGGATTAGTTCATTACTATTTGTAAATGACCTTGAGTTGTAACAACTTTTGTATTCTAAAATATAAATTGATTGATATTGATTGATATATTGATTGACTGATTGTATTTGATTAAGACAATTTGTCCTGATTAAGACATTAAACTCAAAATTCAAAACAATCAAAATATTAAAATTATTGAAATATGAAACTATTTAGATTTTTTTATATATATTACCATATGCTGTGAAACGTCAATAATTTTTTTTTCTAAAAAAGTTAAATTTTTGCGGGGGAAAATGGCCTTATAAGATTGAAAAAAAATGTTAAAGTATAAAATATAATGTTAAATTTTTTAAATAACAAGGACATTCATTGTCATTTTTTTACTAAAAAATTTCAGACTTTATTTTTATGTCTTTATAAATCAGTTAAAATGACTATAATTAAAAGTGTATCTTAATAATGATGTTGTTATTTCACTTGGCGGTTGAATTGTAAGTGATTTCAGACTATTCAACTTTGTAATTATGTTTTTATGAGTTTATCTTTTACGAGTTTTATGAGTTTACTATGTAATTATATTTTTATGAGTTTTTCGTGGTTTAAAAACTGTATACAAAGAGTTCTTGTTTTTATTTGCAATCATATAAATGCCAATTCTAATAATTATATTAAATTAACTATGACTATTTCAAAAAACACAAGACTCCCTGTGGAAACAAAGTTATCAACATATTTAGGCAGAAGTAAGGATCTTATTCTGTCAGAAGTGCCAACTTTAAGAGATATTTTGAGAAAAGGTCTGCTTATCCAAGAAGCTCTACTTCGAGAAGATGTTAACAGGTAATAATCAAGAAACTCAAAATTTATGAAACAAATTATACATTCTGCATTATATTATATATTTTTGTCTTTAGAAGGAATATTTGATTGAGAGACTTTTCTCGACTACTAGCTGATATCGTTTTTCAGCAGTAGATAAAAGCAAATGTTTAAAAAAAATCTTTTTAAACCTCCAGTGGTTATTGGAAAGAACTTTGATGGAAAAAATTGAGTTTTCCTGGAACAAGATCAAAGATATAGCACATGGGAAAGCTTCTCAGACACATGTGTCTTTTTGGGAATCATAACTGGATGAATTTCTAGATATAACATGTGCAAGTGTGAAATTATGTTATGTAACGAGTTGTGTTTGAAAACTTATTCTTGCGTCAAACAAGTACGTATTAAATGAACTTGTGTAAAAGAGAAAAAAATTCCAAAGGTTGAACTTCTATGGCTTAATGCCCAAAGGAAAAAAAGAGGATCTATTTCAAAATACCAGATGGGTTTCAATGATATTAAAGAGACCGCGAGACAGTTTTCGCGAGAGGAGAAAAAAATGAAGAGAAAGTCTAGAGTAGAGAAAAAATTAGAAATGGAAAAAAAAATTTAAGGTAGAAAATGACAACGTTGTTGAATGTTTAATTGAGGATTATTCAGATTTAAAAAAGGAAAAGATTTCAGAAGATCTGCTTCAAAACAAGATTTGGAAAAAAAATGTCAATAAGTCATATTGTAGAAGCTTCAATAAGATATGATATTTCACCAGTAGCAACATCAGCTATTATTACATACTTTCTTTTAGACCTTATTGAAGCAAAGTGTTTGATGCCTGATATGTCTTATTTACCTGTTGATCCTATGAAAGTAAGAAATAATGAAGAGAGTAATAATGTATGAAGAAAAGCTAATCGGCAAAGAACCTATCAGAGGTTTGTTTATTGATGGCAGGAAGGACTCAACTTTTATTTTGGAACATAATCCTCTAACGTGAAATTTATCCTCTAATGTGAAATTTATTTAGAAATCCTCTAAATAAATTTCACATTAGGACTATAAAAGAAGAACATATAACTGTGACGTGTGAGCCTGATGGAAGATACCTCACTCATTACACACCACCTAAAGCTATACCGCCAAGCAAAACCAGCTCGGAATCCCTTATATTAACTCTTTTGTCAAGTTCAGATGAAGAATTGAGGAAGTTTACCATTAAAACAATTAAAGATATAAGGAAAACCTCGCAGCTCGGAGACACAGCGGTAAGGTCAAGAAAAAAAGTTTTTCTTAATACAGAAGCTTTGTCTATCAAAGAGCTAATAGATTGGGAGAAGGAAAAAATATCAGAACCAGTGTTTATGTGCCAAATCTCTACATACGATCTTGGCAAATAGCTGGTCACTTGCTTTGAAGCTCTGTACTTTCCTCTTCACACGCAATCTTGTGAAAGGGCAGTAAAAGAAGTTACAGAAGCAGCACTTTCCGTTTGTGGTTTTGAAAAAAGAGACGGTTTTGTGAGAGCACGAATGAATAACATAAAAACTTTGCCCAAGCTTTAATCAAAAAAAAATTTTAGTAACCTTTTCATATCAAAATCGTAAACCAAAACATTTTTATGACAATATTATAACTTAAATTTGTTTTGTATTAAATATTGTAAAGCTAAACGATGTTGTTAAGTTGAACTATAAAAACTTCATTCCAACAAATAAAGTCTGAAAATTTATTATGAAAAAAATTCCAATTTTTATATATTTTTTCAATCTTATAAGGCCTTTTTCCCTGCAAAAATTTATTTTTTTTTAGAAAAAAAAATTATTTACATTTCACAGCATATAATAATATATAAAAAAAAATCTAAATAGTTTCATATTTCAATAATTTTAAAATTTTGACCCCTCTTGCATTTATGCATAAATGAACAGTTTTACCTTTTCGAAAACTGCCATCCCGTCTAGGTAAAAAAAATTTTATTCAAATTTTTATTCAAATTTTTTTATTTTGGAAGTTCATTTTTACATATAGTGGCACCATTAAAATCATCCGCCGAATTCAAAATCAAAAATTTGAAAAGTATGATGCCCAGGCCCCACAAATTAGGGGCCCCCAAATATTTTAGAGGAGCTTTTTTTATTTTTTTATTTTTAGGCTTTTCCACATAAAACAGGCCTCCAAAAAAACAAAACACCCGTAACACGTTACGTTTTAACACGTAAGCCACTTTTAACCCAGGTAGCAACTGTTTATGTTGAGAACTAATATACCATCTCTTGCGCCTGGCCTATCTATGGTCATGGATGCAAATGTCACTTGTTTTACAGCATGCTCTGTACTTTGGGTAAAAATTTTAACTGAAGGAGTTATTAAAGGTGTCAATCTTAGCAATTACAAGTTACCTTTTGTGAGAAAACAAGTTAAAACAGGTTCTTGTACTACAGTATTTTTATGTTTAACTATCTCTTGACAAGTCTCGCTGCAAAGTTCTTTAGGTATTTTTCTTGGTCTGATTCTGGTATCTCCAACAATATCGTTGCCTTTTTGTATCAAAATATGGTAAACTGCAAAGTTTACCATATTTTGTTCTTATTTTGTTCATATTTTTTGTTCTGCATTATTACTAGATAATGAAGACATTCATATACTTTGCATACCAAGCTCCTAGCTGGGCATAGGGTGTCATTCTTTCTTTTACCCTATCAGGTTGATTTCTGAAAATTCTCAATTGAAACAAAATGTGGAAGCATCTTTAAATTTGTTTTTTATTATGTTAAAAAAAGTTTAAAGTAATTTGTAAACAGAATAAGATAAGTAGCTCTAGATTTTTTAAGTTTTACATAGCTTATAATATTGTTTTTGATGCGTTGACATCTTTTTAATATTGTTTCTGAAATGTTAACAAAGCTCTCTCCATCTGGACAAGTTTTAAATTGAAGATTATACTCCATTTTATAAATATCAGGATATTTTCCTGTAGGATTTACAAATCCAGTACTAAATGATGTTGGTCCATTAATTCCTTTTATTAGGTGACACGAAAATAACTTGTTTAATCTATAAGTGTTACACATCATTTAGTAAGATTATATTTTTGCTAAGAAAAACAAACAACTTAAGGAAGCTTTGTAGCTGGTTTGTTCGAATAAATACGTGCATTCAGATAGATATCAAACACAAAGTTCTACAGCCACAGTAATGTGATTCTCTTGATAATAATAGAATGTAACTGTCCCTTCAAATTATTCAACCTGTCTTATATCTTTGACTTTATATCATGAGCTCCATAGTTAAAATTGGTTTAGTAAAAATACAGCTGCAATTTATGTGTGCTATAATCGTACTATTTTTGGGGATACCCAAACAGATTATGCTCATAAAAATATTGTATCAGGACTTGTTATGAGGTCTATTAGTTTAAAACTCTGGTATTAGTTCTTTTACCTTAGCTTCAGTTCTTCTTCATGCGATGTTTTAAATTGTTTTTCCCAAAAAGTTTTTATTCTATAATAAAGTGATTTCTCCCCAAAAATAACTGGTTGTTGAAACCTAACATTTTCATTTCTCCATTGAGCAAGAACAAATGAAATTAGATTGATTTTTGTTAGAAAATTTATTTTGGTATAGACCAGGGTTCGTACTGTACCTGGAAAACCTGGAAAATCAGCCAAATTTGGATAAAGTCATGGAAAACCTGGAAAAGTCAAGGAAAATTTTTTTTTTCTAGGTAGTCAGGGAAAAGTCAGGGAATTCTGTATCACATTCTACCTAATATAACCATCAAACAGGTTAATCCATCGCTTGACATTCTTATCACCCCAGCTTCTGTATCAAAAGTGATTTCTTGCTTAAACTTCTTCAGCCTGTGGTCCAGACGACATACCTGTCATAGTCTTGCAGAAGTGTTGTTCGGAGCTGTCGTCTATACTTTCAAAACTATTTAACAAATGTTTATAGAAGTCATTTTTTGCCGCCCTGCTGGAAAGCTGTGTCTGTGTTTCCTATTTTTTAAAATTTTAGATTGCGATCCGACTTGTCTATCTATCATCCCATCAGTCTCCTTACTAGCATAAGCAATTTTTTTTGAGTCTTTAATTAACACACAATTAATCTCTCATCTTGAATCTAATAATTTACTTTCTGATCTGAAATATGGATTTCGATCTTCTCATTCTACTGCTTAATTATTAACGATAATAACTGATAGGTTTTATTGTGTGTTCGATAATCGTGGAGAGGCTAAGGCCATTGCTCTTGACATTTCTAAAGCCTTTGATAAAGTTTGGCATTCGGGTCTTTTCCTTAAGCTTTTGTCTTACAGTTTATCAGGTAATGTCTTAAAGATTATTGAATTCTTCCTTACTAATCATATTATAAAAGTTATACTTTGTGGACAGCATTCTTCTCATTTCTGGTAACTTCAGGGATTCCTCAAGGTTCCATCCTTGGTCCTATAATTTTTCTAATATACATTAATGATCTCCCTGAAACTCCCACATCTTAGGTGGCATTGTTGGCTGATGACACTAATATTTATTCTTGTCTTAATAAAAACCAACACTCTCTGATTGCTTGGAGAGTTATCCAAGCTTAAAATAGATCTGCTACAGCAGATCTATTTTAAGCTACTTCTGCTACAGCATGGGGTTCTCAGTGGCTGGTGAACTTGAACTCTGATAAAACTAAATATTTTTCAGCCAATTGTTATCGCAATAACTTTTATCTTCCTAAATTTATGAACGGTAATATAATTGATGAGTCATCTTCTTATCATCTTTTAGGATTAACTATTACTTCTGATCTTATATCAAATTGATATCAAAATTAGCATCTTCTAACCTTGCATCTCTTTATCTTGTTGCCACTTTTAGACTCCTATTTCCATTCTTTATCTCTATAAATAATTTATCCGTCCTTCTACGGAATACTCTTGAAATATCTGGGAAGGATCTTCCGAAGATGCTCTTTCTCTTTTAGACAAGGTGCAAAACTTAGTTGGACCTGCTCTTGCAGCCAACCTCCAACCATTATCATATGATGTTGCTTCAATCATATTGTGGTGATGTTGCTTCTCTTAATTTCTTGTACAAGTACTAAAATGGGCTCTGCTCTACAGACCTAGTGTCTCTTACGCCATCTGTTAAAATTCATTGTCGTGTTATTAGTCATTCAATTAAGTCTCATCCTTTTATTTTTTCCTAAGTGTTTCAAAGGTTCTTATTTATCTACTTTTTTTCTTCGAGTATCGGTTTTACATTTAATTCACTTCCTTTATATTGTTTTCCTGATTCTTATAATTTTCAACTTTTCTTTTTTTTTTTGTCTGTTAATCGTTATCTTGCTCTATAATCTTTATCTTTTTTTTTCCAGTAATTTCTAACATAAATAGTGCTTCCTTGTTGCAAGTGAAGAAAAAAAAAATTAATAATTTGCGATATTTTAAAAATAAAAATATTAAAAATAAAATGTTACTTAAATATTCAACTTTACAGATTTTTATTTTTACAGGGGGATATGCAAACATTATGGAGAAGTAATGCCCAGTGTCTTAAAGAGAGGCAAAGGGTTACGAGAAAATAGCGTGCTAGCAAGTGGTTGTAAGATGGCTATTTATGTAGCCTATAAAAAAGAAATAAGGAGTTATTATATTAAGAAAAAAAATTTAGTTCATAATCATCCACATGGGCCTGAGCAGTTCGGTATGTATAGTTCAGAACGTCAACCAAAAGGTGTTCTCGAGCAGCAGACAATGCTTCTGCTATCTCATGGTGCTAATCCTACACTTATAACAGACAATTTAAACAGGCATGGTTTAAAGACTAGACCTCGTGATATATATATAACATAAAGCAAAGAATGAAATTTAAAGGTTTTTGTTATGGTTGAAATTTCAATTTTAAATTGTATGACTTTTCTAAAAGGTTAATTATCTTTTCTAAAAGGTTATTTTTTTCCCTATAAAATAAACAGGTCCTGCACTCGATGAAGTTATAAAGGTTCTTGAATTACCAAACGTCATATCCCATATTGATGCCAATCTTGATAGAAAAGTAGAGTGTATAACGTGGACAACTACTGAACAAATAAATTTGTTGAAAAAGTATCCTGAGTGTATCATGCTTGATGGTACCTATAAGGTTTGTCTTAACATTGGCTAAGTGTGTGGCGTAAGATTTTTTTTGAGGGTATAATTTCTATTTAAAAAAATAAGTATTTATAAAAATAATGAATTGCTATTAATAAATTTCCTAATAATATCCAGATTAACAACTTTTCTATGCTATTATACACAATGGCTGTTGTGGATCAAAATGGCATGGGGTGACCTGTAGTGCAGTCTTTAGTTTATTGTGAGGACCAGTCACATCTACAGCTACTAATGACACATGCTAAGGAATAGGCTGGGATTGAAACTTTTCAAAAGTCGATATTCATGGTTGATAAAGCTCAAGCAGAAATATCTGGACTACAGTCTGTTTTTCCAGGAAATAAAATATTTCACTGTCGCTTTCATGTAGCTAAAGCTTTTATTTATCAAATTAAAAAGGGTAGACTTACTGCTGACGATCAGGAATTATTATTCAAGGTTTGCAATTATAATATTATTTTTAATTATTTTTATTGTTTATCTTACTAACAATTGGAAAATTTATGAATAAAACTATTGTAAAAATGCAACTATGCTCTCACTTAACTATTTAAATGTTTCATTAGGCTACTCAGAAATTAATGTACGGTAATCAGGCAACATGCGCTGAAGCTTTGTTAAATATTGAAAAAAATTTCCCTACGTTCTATGTGTATCTTCAAGAAAACTGGCTGACCATACCAGAAATGTTTATGGGTCACTATAGAAAAGGTCTGATGCATTTAGACAATCATACTAATAACAGACTTAAAAGGTGCTTATTTTAAGATGGCTTCATTATTTTTAATAGAAAAGTCTTGTAATGGAAAAAGTTTTAGATCGAATAAGTTAATTTTTTTATGAATTATTTAACAATAATTTTATAACAATTAATTATTGTTCTGATTAGATATCATAGAACACTTAAAGATGTTGGCCTTTTGTCTTGCATGTCACCGGGAAATCTTATAGATAAAAGGTTAATAGAGTGCAAATAGAAAAATCTAAACATGCAGACTTTGACCAACAACTAAAAATTAACAATAAACTTCCAGAGCCACTAAAGTTTTATTCACGTCATGTTTCTTCTTTTATTCTTCGTCATCTCATGGAACAATATGATAAAAGTATCAAGTCTGATTTTAGTTTATATGAGGTTAATAATTTTTATTAAATGTACTCCATTTTTTATCATTTTTTGTTTTCCAATAAGATTTGCTAGTCAATCATTACTTATTTTATGGTGTTTTAGGACAGAGATTCATTACAAATAATCGATCGGCAATCAACTTTTTATAACATAATAGACTGGGTTTGCATCTGTGATGCTGCATCATGGTCTGGCGTGCCGTGTGCACATGTTCTTTTTGCTCTAAGAACGAAGAATGTAACTGTTAATGATCTACAGTTGATTCATAAAAGGTAACCTTGGGTTTTCTACTAATTAATAATAATAAAGGTTCGTAATATTATATAACTTCATGACCTTATTTAAATTTCAATCCACTTATGTTATAGATTGCTAAATTAAAATTTATTTGAATAATAATCAATTTACAATTTAGTAGTCAAAACATGTATTGTAATGTTGCACGCAATTTATTACTTATTAAATGTTCTGAGTCATTGTTTATTCTAGAAAAAGTTACTTTAAAAAGTTACCATGCCATTCAGGTAATCTAAAAAGCAAAACAAATGATGTATCGATGATCCCCTATTTGCATTTTTTAATGCTAAATTGATTGTCTGTTATAGTTCAATAAATAAAATAATTACTTTTATTTAATTGGCTAGAAGAATTCTTTTTTGTGTACACTGAAATAAAAATTTTAAATACATTTTTTAACCTACTTTACACTAGGATAACAGAAATTATTTACATTGACATAAATTTATTTAGGTGGATTTCATGCAATACTGTAGCAAACCAGGTAAGTTTTGACCAAACGCCATCACATATTACCTCAAATATAGAATTATTACCTCTCTGTTGTGCCACTCCCAAACAAAAATTTACAATAGCAATGAGTTACCTTCAACCAATAGCCTCTTTGCTCGCTGAAATGCCACCCAAAAAATTTGAACTTGCAATAACCTGGTTAGAATCTATTAATCAACAATGCATTTCTGGTGAATGGGAACTGATGGTATGTCAATGGATTTTAGATGCTTTCAGTTTTCAAATCATTAAAGAACTGCATTAGAAAAATGTTTTGTTTATTTTAGTTTCAAATTGATCCTTGTCTAGAAGTTTTTACACCTGCAGAAGATCACAGTGATCCTTGTCTAGGAGGTTTTACATCTACAGTAGATCAAAGTGATCCTTGTCTAGAAGGTTTTACATCTACAGAAGATCTATCATCAAAAGAAATTTTAGAAGTTAAATCACCTTCAAGTGCAGATCCTATGATTACCCCACTTGAATGCATAAATAAAGAAATATGTGAAGTAGTCTCTCAAGAGCCACATATAAATTTAGTTTTAAGGCAACCCCAGCGGAAGCCACCTGGTCGTGTAGGTAAAAACAAACAGAGACTTTTTGACAAAGCTATAAAAGCGTTTGAAAAATTAGGTATTTTCGAAAAAGATCATATACGTCTCTGTTGGTTTGTAGAAAGAACAGTTGCCCTGCAGGTTTTACACGAGAGTGCTAAAATTACCACCTGCCAGTTTTTAAAGCAGTTATCGAATAAGATTGCTGATCCTAGAGCAAGTCTTGATGACATTAAGCAATATTTTGTAGAGGATGCATGGGCTGAAGTCATCAAACGCTGTGAAGATGTGAGAATTGAAAAATGGCCGTGTCAAGTATGCGGGCAGTCTAAGGCAGCTGGAAAAAACCAAAAATGGCTTCAGTGTGATCATTGTTTAGATTGGTCGCATTATGTTTGTCTACAAATATCTTGCAAACCTAAAGGATATTGGTTCTGTGCTCAATGTTAAGTAAGGAAATAGTGGAATTTAGGTTCATATCCTAATATAAAATATTTTTAAAAGTTTTTAATATCTATTTATTTAGCGACATAAATAAATATTAAAATGTTTATTATTTATTATTTATAGAAACGGTTAGTATATTATAATATTTATAAAGAGCATACTCCATATTTATTTTTATTTATTTAATATATTATAATATAAATTAATATATTATAAAAAACATTTAAAATAGCTTTTAATTGGCAATTAGCTTTGTGTTTCTTTAGCTAGTGTCCCTTTTTTGCAAAATTCTTGAACCTGATAGTTAAAAATACTTTTTTTGAAATAGCCCTTTATACTACTTTTGAAATAGCCCATGCTACTTTCTAGCGTTTCTTAGTTTAGTCTTTTTTAAGCTTACACTTAAATATTGTTATATGTAGAAATGATTTTTGCTAATCTCTAAATATTTTTTATTGCAAGCTACATTTTATTGTTTTTGATATTTGTTATTGCTTAGCTTTGAAAAAATTAAATTTCATTATTATTTTTGTTTCTTTGGAAACCATTATTTTAAATCAGATTTTGGAATTTTCAAATTGCTGAATTTTGTAGATTTTTAATTTTTAATTAAAAGTTAGTAATTCCAGGCTAGAATTAGAGGTATTTGAAGAAAATATCAGCTTTTTTAATTAGATATTTTTCTGCTATTTGGTAGAGCATCAGGTTTTGGCGGAAAGTGAGAGTTGCAGCTCATGGATCATTATTTGAGCTTTGATTAGTCATGATACATTTTTTAAACATTATGTTATGCATTGTATGATGTATTATAATATAATGTATCATATAATGTATCATAGTTTATATCCAATGTATCATAGCTTATATCTAAGATAAAAAAATGACAAAAATGCTTCCTGCATTAAAATAAAGTTAGAACAAAAGTGTTAGACATGTTGTTAGGCATTTTTCTTTTTTAATTTGTTTCAGAAATTTTATAAAGATACTTTCAGTGCTTAACTTTGATAACGTTCATTTGTTTTTCATATTGCATTCTAGAACTTTTTAATTTTGTTGTGTAAAGTGATATTTTAACTGTGCAGCTTTATTTTAATTTTATACCTTTTCATCAAGTCAACACGAAGTTTATGTTACAGAATGATTTCTTGTTAATTTTTATTTATTAGTTTACTTTGAAAATACGTCATGAAAATAAGTGTAACTATTATTAAGTGAAATAATGTGTAACTATTATTTTTAGCAATGTTTCAAAGATTATTATTTTTATCAATGTTTTTAAGTCTAACAAAAGGTTAACCTGTTTCTCTGGTAAGACAGGAAGAGTTTTTTATAGTCATTATAGTTGTATAATATATAATAATCAAGGAATGAAATAGAAGAAAAGTTATTTGCATATAGTTTATTCTTGGGTGTTATAAGATGAGACCCATGAGGTAGAGCTGGAGAATTAGATTATCCTTTGTTGTTGACACTGTTAAAGTAAGTACAGTACCTGTTTATTTTCATAAAAATTTTGTTTTGTTGTTGTTGATAATAATTTTTTAAATCATTTGTATTTTATCTTTATGTTCGCTTTTTTTCATTTAAACACTGGTGTGGAAGGTAATTTTTGTAAGTTATGGAATTTATGCATAGTTATTTGATTTTGTGCTGTTTCATTTGCTTAATTCGTTTTAGATTAGTTGAAGAGAGATTCAGACACGTAGGCTTTACTCCTTTTATTTAATCTCTTTGTTTACATCTTTACAAAATATTTTACTTTAATTAATTGTAAAATCAGCCATTGTTTTTAATTTAGTTATGAATGAGTCTATGAATTAGTCTGATAGCGAACAAAAAGTTGCATTCTTTATCACAACTTTAAGATGTACAAGACTCAAAGTTTCTTATATCTTTATTGTTCCCAATATTCAACATTGCATTATGTTGAAAATATTGGAAACCATAAAAATCTATGAATTGAAAACTACAAACTAATTAGAAAAACATAAGTTATATCATCTTCAATTTAAATTGATTACTTAAAACCACACGATGTTTTTCAATAACCCAAACAACGACTGCTACATCAGCAGCAGCAGTATCAAAAAAAGCAGGTAAATTGATTTTGTAGTTTTTATACATGGATTATTTTTTTTCGGATGTTCCCGGTATTCCGGGTATTTTTTAAGACTTTTTGTTTTCCGGATATCCTCAATTATTTCAATGCATACAAGTTTAAGTATGCATTTGTGTAAATGTTTGGAGTTTTTTAGTCATCACTCATACAAAAAAATGATAAAATTAACTCAGCTGAAGGCAAAAATTAAGAGAAAAATATGAGAAAAAATATTATGCATATTGTACGCAAAGTTATTTCAGGATTTTTAAATTATAACCTGGACGGTCTATGTTTTATAAGTGGTGTCTTCTCCCTTTTTGTATGCATAAAAAAAGGAAAAACCTTTTTAACTTTTTTCAAGACTTAATTTTCAAACACTTTCTATTTTTCTGTAATGAGGGTTTATTATTAAAAAAAGCATTAATGGAACTGTAGCTGACACCGTTTTTGTGGTAGCTATTTATGTTATATGTTTATATATGTTTGCGAAAACTTATAATACTTATTTATCCACTATTTATATTGTATCAATCATATATATTTCTGAACAAGGTCTTACAGTCAAGGATACTTACAATTACTTTAAAACTAATATAAAGTAAAAACCTAACGATAATCATATTAAATAATATTAGTGATACAAATAAAAATTATAAAGATAATAGTTATAAATTATCAACACCAATAGCAACAAAAATGGTTTAAATTAGAATAAAAATAAATCAATATTTTAAAAGAAAAAATTAATATTATATACATAAACAGGGGGAAAAAAAAAACAATGGTTAATTAATATTTACATCATCTATAATTATAAAATATTATTTGACCACAAACAAATATTAACTTTATTAAATGATTATATTTATTATAAGTTAAATATCTGATGCTATGTGTTATTATTGTAAGTAATCAATGTGTTGTCGTGTTTTAGTGTTGCTAGATAGCTTGACTTAATTTCCTGCTGTTGTCTATCTTTAAAAACGACTATTACTTGTTTCATTACTGGAACTCACAACTTCTAATTTATCACTAAAAGATTTTTCTTAGTAATTGGTTTAAAGCTGAATTTGATTTTTATCTTAAGACCAAAGAAGTTGCAAAACCTGTCATTACTGCGAACTGGCATAGGCGCGAATCAGTATAAGTGCACCATAAGAACTTATAGACATCAGCTTAAGTTCGAACTGGTATAAGTGCGATGCAGTTGCATAGAATGGCATAAGTGCAAGTGGATTAAGTGCGCCAAAAATATTGCAAACATTGCCATGAGTGTGCATCATCATAAGTGCGAACTTATAAATAAAATTTTATTAATAAGTATTTAATGGACTCCTGCAACAAAATTAATATATATACGGTAAAAAAATATATATGACATTTTATTTTCTGAGATATATTCCTTAATTAATTCCACTCTATTAACAACTCCTCGCCTGGGTTTTTTATGTTATTTAGCTAATACATTTCAATGAGCATTATGCTTTTCCCTTTCAAAATAACAACATTTTTATTATTTTAACAGTTTCCTCGTGAATTTTCACTGTACGTAACTTTTTAAACTAATTTTCACTGTACTGTAACTTTTTAAACTAATTTTCACTGTAACTTAAAAGCTTTTCTGATAAATACGGTGAATTTTCACTGTACAGTGAATTTTCACTGTATTTAGCGAAAAACGTTTCCTTAGGTACAGTGAATTTTCACTGTATTTAGCAAATAGCGTTTTCTTAGGTACAGTGAATTTTCACTGTATTTAGCGAAAAACGCTACCTTAAGTACAGTGAATTTTCACTGTATCTAACACCAAGCCAATTTTAGGGGTTGCCATGTTTTATAAGATGAATTAACCATTGGTAAAATTTTGTGATTTTCTCAAATTTCGCAAATTTGTTTTTTCTTTGTTTATTTATTTATAATTTAGAAATTGATAATATGGCAACCACTAGATCTTCTGCTGAGGTGTGGCTTGTTGGTAAACCTACACAAACTCTGTCGACTGCCAGACTTCCTTCAAGAGGGGATGTTCTTCGGAGGTTGCTCTTCCATCATATAGAAGAGAAACAAGAAGTGAAAAAAAGTATTCGGGCAACAATTGAAGCAGTTCTTGTTATATGGGAGAGAGGAAAAATTCCAACTCAAAGAATTGACAATGCGGAAAGAAAATTAAAAAAACTTTATGACGAATATCTGCTGCTGAAAAAACACCGAGGATCAAAATTGGACAGCTGTCAAATGAAAGAAGGAATTTTCCACGCTGACCTTGAAGAACTTTTTGATATTTCAACCAAGAATGCATCAGAAGTTATGAAAAACGATGAAGATAAAGCATTTTTACGTCAGCAGCAAGAAGATCCATTAAGTTGTAGTGTGGCAGGAATTGATCGGAGTTTAACAGCTAGGGAGGCACGGAAACGAGTCTGAGAAACTAAAATGGAATTGAGGCGTCAAAGAAGTCAAGCGGAACTGATGGAAAAAACAGAACTCATTTCTTCTTCATCAGCAGTTGACATTGTGAGTGAAAGTAGCTCTAGTTCCTCGGATGATGATGAATATCAGACTCCTTCCGCTTCCAGCACACTGAGCACAAGTGGTTCAACGAAAAAGAAAATGAAAGTTCTAACAAATAATGTTGTATCATCTCTTGATCGTGTTAATATTTCTGATCGCCGTGCACTCTTCGTGGTTGGAACAGTGTCTCAGGCTCTTGGTCACTCGGTAAAAGATTTATCATTGTCGTACAGCACAATCCGCAGAAAAAGGCGATCTGTTCGTGAAGCGGTGACTACAGCTGACAAGGTTGATTTCTCTCCTGATGATCCACTTCTTCTGCATTGGGATGGAAAGCTCTTACCTGATATCACTGGTGGTCAAAAAAAAGTGGATAGAATTGCCATCCTTGTGACTGGTGGTGGGGTGGAAAAATTGCTGGGCGTTCCAAAGATTGATCGAGGTACAGGTGAGCAACAGGCTGATGCTTGCATGAAGGCTCTTAAAGACTGGAAATTGAAAGAACTTGTTCGGGGACTGGTTTTTGACACTACTTCATCTAACACAGGGTTGAATATTGGTGCCTGCACAATAATGGAGCAGAACCTTGACCGTAATCTTATATGGATAGCATGCAGGCACCATATGTTTGAAGTCATGCTTTCCACCATTTTCACGACTGCATTTGGAACTAGTGGAGGACCTGAAGTTGGAATTTTTAACCGTTTCCAGAAACAATGGCCAGCAATCAACAAGGAGGTGTTCACTAAGGGAATAAAGAATTTTACAACTGCGATTTTTTTCTCAAACTCCGTGAAGAAATGGGAGTATATTATAGTGAAGCAATTAAAGGTCAACAACCCAGGGATGATTACTTAGAACTCTTGAATTTGTGCCTTATTTTTCTTGGAGGATCAACTACAACATCGGAGTTCAAAGTGAAGTTTCGGGCTCCAGGTGCAACACACAATGCACGTTGGATGGCAAAAGCTATATATTGTATAAAGATATATTTGTTTCAGGATCAATTTGTTATTACTGCAAAGGAAAAGAAAGGAATAACAGATATAAGTCTTTTTGTGGCATTTGTATACGGACAATTTTGGAATGAAGCTCCGTTAGCTAAACGAGCATCATTCAATGATGCCAAGCTTCTTCAACGGATTCAAGAATATCCAAATCGTACAATTGCAATTAATGCAGCAAAAGCTTTTCATCGCCACCTCTGGTATTTTTCTGAACATCTAATAGGATTGGCTTTCTTCGATTCCCGTGTTGACAACAACACCAAGAGAGACATGGCAAACAACCTGAAACAACAGCCAAGGCAGAAATCTCTCAAAAGACTTGATGCTGCCACATTCGATTGTCACAGCCCATTGCCTTCCTTCGTCACACAACTCACCGCAGAACTTTTCGATCTAATTTTGAAAAATGGAAAAGAAAAAGCTGAATCATTTTTAATGAAAGAATCTTCAGAGTGGGAAATGGATTCAACATATCTTGAAATGAAGCACAAGGTTGGTCAAATGAAAGTCGTCAACGATTGCGCGGAACGAGGCATAGCACTTATAACATCCTTTAACTCAAGCGTTACGAAAGATGAAAACCAAAAGCAGTTTCTTCTTAGATTGGTTGATCTTCACCGGAAGGAATTTCCAGTTGCATCAAAGTCTACCCTGATGAAGATGACTGTTGAATGATGAAGATGATTGATTTATTATTGCCTAGTGCAATTACATAGTAGTACTATAGTATTGATTTTTTTAACATTGAACATCCACAATCCACCACATAATAATAAGAAATTGATAATAAATAATTCAGTAATATAATATAAAAAATGTAAAAATAAAAAATATTTTTTTTACTTTTTGTAACCTTATACCAAAATGTGACAAAACATGGCAACCCCTAAATATCATCCGATTTGATTCAAATTTTGGCCAATAACTACTATTGTCATATAAAACAAGGCAAGCTTGAGGACAACTAAAGTTTTGAACCTACAAATTTTGCATCACCCTAATATATATATATATATATATATATATATATATATATATATATATATATATATATATATATATACATATATATATATATATATATATATATATATATATATATATATATATATATATATATATATATATATATATATATATATATATATATATATATATATATATATATATATATATATATATATATATATATATATATATATATATATATATATATATATATATATATATATATATATATATATATATATATATATATATATATACAGGCCCGCCCAGAACTTTTGTGATGCCCGGGTCCAAAAGTTTAATGGATGCCCTATCATACTTCAGGTCTTAAAATAGCAAATAAATTAATATA